TGTATGTTTTGGGTTAGTGATTAAGGTTTAAAAGGATCAATCTCATTAACTAAATATAAAGGAACTTTGTAGAGAAGAGATATATATTAAAAAGAATTGTAATGCCTTAATTTGATGTGTGTAAATGTGAAGAATGTAGTGGGCATAAAGGAGTAATCTTTGGCTAATAGGAGAAATTAAACTTAAGGACGTCTTCTTTTAAGACATATATCATGAAATGTGTAAGTAAGCATATATGTAAATTGTAAGTAAGAAAGTTGAATAAATTAAATATAACATGCAATTAACTTGACATGCAAGTAATGATTACAACTTAAAAAAGAATGGTAAAAAGTTTATTCACGTTTTTACATGAGTTTAGTTAGGGATTAATATGATTAGCTTCCGCATATATTTGTATAATTAGCTGCGCTTAATACCTTTATGATGTTAACAAATCGGGTATACACGGGGTGTTACAGTCGCAATCTGCGATGGTTATTGCCATGATATAATAAAATAGAATGATAGTCAATGAAGTGGTTAGTAGAATTTATGGTTATTAATGACACTTTTGCGACGATGTGTTTAGCTGTCGAAATTTGCGGCGATTAGTGCGACGATATTCAGACTTGGAAATGAAGCGCCAATAAACCCATTTGTGTCCTATTTGGTGACGGAAATTACTATAAGTACCATCGCAATTGTGCGATTTTAATTTTTAAAAAAAGCTAAGTTACTGAGCTTTCACACATCACACTTTGTTTTCACTGTCCCTCACCATCTCCATTCTCACTCCGACCGCCATATCCGGTTCTCATCTTACATCTCAGTGAAGCGAATCTCTCTTTGTATCCCACATCGTCTCTCTTCGAATCCTTCTCCATCTCCCTCACCAAACCCACCAGTGTCTTTCTCTCCGGCCATCATTTTCGGCAAACAAAAACCTCTCTTTCGCTGAAATCATCTTCGAGTTGAAGATCTCGAATTCCATTACTTTCTCAGCGACTATCCACTTGCGGCACTCCCTCTCATACTCCATTTCAGTGACAAGGTAAATCAAGTGCCTTTTTTTGGGTGTTTTCTTATTCTTTTGATTCCAGTGAGACAAATTCTCAATTTCCCCCTCCTTGCATGCAGCTGTGGTCAAGGAAGGAAGAACACACACCCTACTCAATCTCTTCCTCACCTTATGTAACTTCTCTAAGGTCAGTATTGCACTGCTTCACATTCTCTTTTTTTATATCTGGGTATTTAGTGTGAGATTTTTCTGATTGATGTTGATCTGTTGAATGAGGATTTTTTTTGATTTTTTTTACCTAAATTTTCTAACTTGAAATTTATGTGGAATCAAGACATATTACATAACATGTAATTCAGAGATTAAATAGTGGAATCAAAATTACAAGGTAAAAAAGAAGAAATTCAATGTAATTCAATACCATTTTTAAGAAAATACTCAAGAATGAAATCAAACAGAAAACTAATGATTCCAGACGTTAAACAAATTCAATATAATATGTATAATCCAGAAAACAAGTTATAAGCATTGAAATAAAAAAGATAAGGTAATGAAGAATCTTATTGGGATATATCCTGTTTCATTCTCTAACCATTTGATAGCTACATCCAGACTGAAATCGATTATACCACTATCATGAAGCTTCCAATCGATGCTTGAAGAAATCATTTTACAACTGGATTTTTACAAGTCTATGATCACACCTTGATTATACTAAACCTAAGACCCATAGGATCACTCCAATTGTCTCACAAACAATTACAACAACACAAATCATCAAAATAGATGTAGGGCAGCCTCCCCGATAAGCGAATTCTCACTAAGATCAGAAAAAGATTAAAAAACGAGAGAGTTATTGAGCTTTTCCTCAAAGATATGCAAAAGTAGGCCAAATGAGGGTTCAATATGATTTCTATGTGTTCTGGTGTTTTCCTTTTGTAATTCTTATTCAGAAACTCTTAGAATATGCTTATATATGTGCTATATCGAGTTATTAGCCATTTATAGTTATTGTACTTCTAAAAATTCAAATTACTTACGCTTTAAGTCACTTAAGACAAAGAGTAATCGATTTTTTTTTCGTGGAATAATCGATTACTTCTTCAAAGATTTCAGGTAATCAATTACTATTCATCAGGTAATCAATTACTTCTTCAAAGAATCCAGGTAATCGATTACTTCACTTAGGTAATCGATTACTTTATATCAGAAACTTAGTTTTCAGTTGTCTTTTCAATTTTAATGTATCTAAGTGATTTCTAAATGATTCTTAGTAACATCTAGTATAATGACCCTCACTAGTAAGTCTTGAAAGAATATGATGATTATGAAGTTATTTAGCAAGTTTTGAAAGTTCTGAGATAAGTCAATTTTTTATGCAAGTTTTGATGATTTAATTATGTGAATGACATGATAATGAGTATCAAGATACAATTCATGCCAAAAAGTCAATTAATACCTATATGAAATTATTAGAAAAGTTTGTGGTGAAAAATATAAATATGTGACAATCTATGGACTATTTTGTAAATTAGAAAAAATTAGCCTAAACTAGATTTTTATGATGTAATTAAATTCTTGAGTAAATTCTATGAGATATAAGTGATATTAGTTTAAGTTAATTATGAAAAATAAGTCAAAGTTAGTAAAATTCATAGCCAATTAGAATGCTCATAACTAATTATAGTCAAATTAAGTTAGCTTAATACCTAATTCACTTCAACTTGGGCACCAAGTCAATTTTTTTGCTTCTTAAAGACTCATTTTTGCAGCTCTTCTTTCTCCTTTTATTCATGTTGGCCGAACCCATGGTAAGAAGAAAAACAAGAGAGATTCATTATTTTCTAGTTACATTTTGCATTAAACCTATTTCACAAGACATGTAGCATATGATCTTATGGAGGGCTGGGTCTGAAGAGGTTAGAGGTGATGAATGATGCTTTCTTAGCAAAACGTGTGTGGGAGTATCAACAAAATCTAAACTAGCTCTAGGCTCAGGAGTTATAGGCCAAATATGGTTCTGGTAGCAGACATGAAAGTCCTTTCATGGCTAGGAATGACAACTCTTGGTTGTGGAAAAATATGTGTAGACTGGGGGCGTTTGGTACGCGGCATTTGGCCGGATTCCCGGGAAACTGAATTTTTCTAAATTTTAAATTTTCGAATATTATCGTAAACTGAATGTAAAAATCATATTTTTGAAAATTGAGATTCCCGGACAAATAAAAATTTCTCCTGTACCAAACGCCCCCCTAGAAGAAAATGGAGGTTCGTCTAATTTGGGAGCTGGGTGATGGTACTGAGATTAATTTTTGGAAGGACAAGTGGTTAAGTCACCAAGAGCATTGGTTGATGTTGTGGATGTCAGGGATACTAGCATTAATATAATAAATAAATCAGTGGCTAATTGGACAACAAAATATGGTGAATGGAATTATGAAGAACTGCAAAGATGTTGCTTGGGAACGTGATTGATACTTTGTGCAATACTTTAGCCCCGTGTAGCATGGATGGTCCTGATAAAATGGGTTGGGACCTCATGGGTGAAAACATTGTAACAATGATAATTTATATAATTGTATCAATGTTCTTAGAGGTATTGGGGCTCATGAGGCAAAAATATGGAAGAACATCTGGTGTTGGAAGGGTTCACAAAAAATAAAGAACTTCATGTGGAAGGTGGTTCACTGCAGGTTACCTACAATGAGTAATATAACTCATTGGAATGGTGGAGATGAGTCTTGTTCGATTTGTAGATCTAATAAAGAATCATTGTTACACGTTTTAAGGGATTGTCACGAAGCCAAAAACTTGTGGTGTAAGTTATTCCTTGGATAGCAGTGTGATGAATTCTTTAATCTGGATTTGCTTTCGTGGCTTAATAAGTATGTTGGTGTTGGGAGGGAGACTGCATCACAAGGGTTCTGTTTGACAACTTTTTTGTCAAATGTTGGAAGCTTTGGTAGTGGCGTAATGATTTTATTCATGGAGTTTCAATTCCCCCTAATTGCCACGGAGAAGTATTGATTCAAAATTTAGCTCGTGAGGTGGATGAGATGTACTCTTTTGATAATGGTAATTCTTCAATAAAAAGAGTAGTATGGTTTGTAAAGTTGACTACGGACGGTGCTACGAGGGGTAATCCTAGTTCTGCAGCCTGGAGTGGGGTTATTCATGATGCTCATTGAAATTGTTTAAAAAAATTGAACAAAATAGTACAAACAAACATTGTTGTTCATATTTAAGGGGTTAAAAAAATTGAAACTTCATGAAAAGTGACAAGGTTTTGGGGTAACAGGTGAAGAAAAAGCAAAAATCATAAATATTATCTAGTCTTTTCTTTCATTCTCACTTAAATTTCTCGTGAATTCAAAAATTGCAACACCAAAAAATAAAAATAAAAAAATTCAAATGCAAAACAAACTCAGAAACAAAAAAAGGAAAAAGAAAATGAGGTGTTAGGAGGCCATGAAGTTTCAACCAATTTTTCAAGGATAGGATATTGTGACACACAAATAATGTTACGCATAATGTTACGACCACATCTTAACCGTTGATTTTCGTCAATCAACGGTTATCATTTTTCAAATCAAACTCATTAATTAATTATTAATTCGCAATTAATGATAACCGTTGATTGACGGAAATCAACGGTTAAGATGTGGTCGTAACATTATGCGTAATATTATTTGTGTGTCACAGTATTCTATCCCATTTTTCAAATCCAAAAACATTAACGAGAAGATAATAATGCTCGGAAGACTAACATAACTTTGTAAATGTGGAGAAATGCTGCTTAGAGGGCATGGAGTTATATGAGATTACTACAAATCACAATATCTTATTAAATTAAAATTAAAATTACTTCCTTAATTGCATTAAAATCGATAATTCATTTGTTATAAAAAAAAATAAAAAAAAATCGATAATTCATAGGAAGAAAGGAGAAATAGGTAGGTTAATAGGTTGCACAACAGTAACACAAAAGGAGGGAGAGAGATCGCAGTTTTTGTGTAAACAGGATTCTTTCCCGAACTAAGATCCGTTCCATTATTATCAACTTACCCTGTCTCATTCTACCCAGAGAAACCCTAATTCATATTATGGGTTTTCTTTTCGATGTGTTAATTTGCTGATTTGTCTATTTTATTTATTTGTTCATGTTGATGCCTTTGGTTTTACTCTGATCAATCTCTGCACTTTTTTTTTTACTCTGAAAAAAAAAAAAAAATAGAAACCCTAATCATCAATGGTTACCAATACTAAATCTTCATCTAACCATCACTCGCCGACTAGTTCTCCGTTACCGGCGCAGTCCGGTGACAACAACAGCCCTAAGTTCCCGCGAAAAAACTTTCCTTCTCCGTGGGCTCAGGTTGTTCGCGGAGGCGAGCCGGAATCAACGACCACCGGCATTAACCAATCACCGCCGTCGTCTTCATCTTCTTCCTCCTCTTCCCTCACTGCCGGCGCTGCCGACCAAGCGCCGTCGTCTGATTCCTCCCCGAAGGCGGTTCCTGCTTCGCCGCCGCCGGTGGATAATAATTGCAATACGGTTGCTGATCTGGATAGCTCCGATGCTAGTGATGGCAATGCGGGTCGTTCTAAGAAGCCCGCTTGGAACAAACCCTCAAACGGCGTCGTCGTTGAGGCTGGTCCTGTAATGGGTGCTGATTCCTGGCCTGCTTTGTCTGAATCCACAAAAGCATCTGGCAAATTGCCAGCTGAATCGTCCTCCAAGACTGCTGTGGATGGATCACTCTCCACTTCTCAGGTCTGGTTCCAATACATGCCATGATTCTCTGATTAGTTTTAACCACAATGCCCCAATTATTGCTTATTATTATTTATTTTTAATTTCAAATTGTATAAGTGGAAACATAGTATGGAGAATGGATACAGGATATATATGATTAAAATTTTTAAATTTCCAGATATTATAAAATTCAGTCTGTGGATAATTTGGGATGTATTAGGCTCACGGTGGACTCGAGTCTATAATAACAAAACTCTATTTCTGTTTCTGTCCAGCATTATGCTATTATCAAACAGGGTATATCTTGTTAAGGAAGGATTTTATATCTATCTGCTAGCATGACCTCTTTATTATTTTGTAGGGGCCTGTCACATCACATCCCCCTCAGAAACAAGCTACTAGTAATTCAAAACCTAATTCTGCAATGAATTATAATATGCCTAATAGACAAAGATCGATGAAGCGCGTAGGCGGCGGCGGCATTGGGTCTGGTCCTGCGCAGAGCAGCTTCTCCAATCCTCCCCCTCCACCGCCACCGCCACCCTTCCCTGTATATCAGCTCCCTCCAGTTAGCTATGGTAATGTGGTACCTGGGATGCCAGACCCTTCTCCAAGAGATCATTACCGGAATAATAACTGGGATACAAGACCATTAGTTCGGGGTTTCATGCCTACGATGAATGAACATCGAGGCTCCTCTCGCAGGGGTAATTATGGGCCCCATCCACGAGGAGATGGTTCTTATCATAATAATTATAGCAGCAGGCGAGATCACGATCGGGGAAATTATGTGAATTCTAGAGATGCTCATGTACCCCAGCCAAGGATGCCTCCAAGAGGATTACTGAGGCAGCCACCCCCTAGTACTGCTGCATTTGTGGGCCCTCAGCCGGTTGGTCCCTATGCAAATCCCGTTGGTTTTCATGGTGAGTTTATTTCTCCTTTTGACCAATTGTGTTTCTGAAAAATAAAATTTAACTAATGCTCCTTCTTTTTGTTTTTAGAGTTCTATTACTTTCCAACAGTAACATTGGATCCCTTTAGGGGCATGCCGTTCTTCACTCACAGCCCTCCTCCTGCAATGTTCTTACCTGCTGCAGAACCTCCTCTGACCAACTTGATAGTCAACCAAATTGATTATTACTTTAGGTAAATTTATCAGTTTTCTATAGATAGGTTGTAAGAGGACAAGCTTGGAGTTGTGGTAAATCTTCTCCTTTTGTGATTGCAAGGTTATTAATATTTGTTTGAATTCAGGAAACAACCTCTTTTCAAAAAATTGCATACAAGAATTTCCCTTATCTCATCTTTGTCAGGGTTTCACGGGCAGCGGTTTTTTCTATAATTTAGTTTGAAAATAAATTCTTGATAATTGAATTCTCTATTCATTGCTGATTTGTTTTTGACAGTGATGCTAATTTAGTGAGAGATGGGTTTTTAAGGTCCAATATGGATGAACAAGGTTGGGTTCCAATTACTTTGATAGCAAACTTCCCTCGAGTAAGTTAATCGTGCTTGATTAAGCAATACTTCCAGCATCTTTTCTGTAATGCCTTTGAATATGTTATACTACTTGGTTGTATGGTTGAGTAAATTTTTGTCTTGCACTAGTCATTTACTTGCGGTGATTTTCCCTCTCTCTCTCTCTCTCTCTCTTTCCATTGAGGATTTTTTCTTATATAGATGATTCTAAAGCTTATTATGCTGGTGATTGAATTGAATGGGTATTACTTGGTACATATGGTAAAAGATTTTGTTTTTGTAGTAAACTTGTATTGTAATATATTTGGCATTTATGCTTTGATGCCCTTTTATGCCTTAATGACTACTTTGCCTCTATATCTCGCCAATAAAGAAGTTTCTTCCCTTTAAACTTGAATTATTTTTCAATCATGATTCTGTTATCATGAAAATAATGCTGCTACAGATGACCGGCAGAAATGAGCAAACATGGCATTTTTTAAAAGAAATTTAATTTGAACATACTATTATTCTTTTGTACTTTACGATTGATAGTTGTAAATAGCATACTTAAAAGTTTGATATTTGTTTTTTGTACATCATGATATATTGTTGTCCTTTTTTATTGAAATATCCATATTGAATATATGTATTGCTGCTGGTATGGATGGGGGAATCCTAACTTGTTAGGATTAGCTATCTGTTTAAGTGAGCTTTGGATTTGGTGTTTGTTCATACATGAGATCTTTTACCCTCTTCATGCAGTTCAAGTGCATTGGATTTGTGGTAGAGGGATTTATGCTTTTGACTGGCTATTGAACTGCCAACACTACAAGCATAGTCCATTGCAGCTAGTCCTAGTCATGATGGATATAAATAAATAGCAATCAGTATTAGTAACTACCTAAGTATGTATGTATCTACACTCACACGAGCACGCACAACATTAATTTTGCAAGAATTCAGATGCTAGTATATTTTATGTCAAGGAAAACAAATGAAACACATACAGAAATGCATCATTATTTTGGCCTAGTTCAGATGTTAGCTTATTGTGCCTTAAAGAAAAATAAAGGAAACACATACACATACAGATCATTAATTTTGCAAGAGTTCAGCTACTGGTTTAATAGATTTGTCTAGAAAAATTAAGGAAAATTGCTTTTTAGAGTGTGAAAGAGTATAATTAGGAGTCAAATAAGGCAACTGGCTTGTAGGTATCAAAGAATGAAATATTTTCTTATTTATCATCGGTAGACAGCAGTGAGTGGAAGTTAGATGTGATACTCGTGTAGCTTGATCATCCTCTGTATATTGTTCAGCAAGGTCTAGGATTATACTTTAAATTATGGACTCACTACATCGGAGTTGTTAGTTAATGGAAATCAGTGGGTTTTCCTGGTATTGAACTGTCAGTGTTTTTTTAGCTCAAATTATGGTTGAAGTACTTCCTGTGGGGGGATTGCAGAAGGAACAGTTGTTGAGTTATTTGATTGAATGGATAATTCTTTGAGTTGGAGGTGATATTATTTCCTTTGTTAAATGGAACCTTAACATTATAAGGAATTTCTTCATTTAGGCCACTGACTTGTTATTTGTATTTTTCATATGAAAATATTTAAATTTATGATCAGTTGATCAGTTATATGGTTTGCCATCAAGGGTGTGAGTGATGAAATTGGAATTTTTGAGAAGTCACCTGTCTATTGTTATGTTCTACTTCATATGTTGTAACTTTGAATCTGGTGAATAAAACTTTTGATCACTTATGCTCCGATTAATATTGTTCATTATTCTTTTTTCCTGAGCTTGTTTGTATTTGTGCACTCAATATGTTTTATAAGAGATGTAAGAGAGCAAGGATGCAGAACGTCATTACAGAAACATGAAAATTGTCCAGCACTTTCCTTGGGGTATGTTTGGTTGGAGGGGTTTAGAGAAATATGGAATGGAATGTTTATTTTTTATTTTGAGTAATCATTCTCCATATTTGGGAATTTCTTAAAATAAAATGAATAAATTGAGAGATTATCATGTAACATTTTTGCCATCGTTTATTCCTTTTCATAAATCTTTTTGCTCTAGAAATGAAAAATTAAACTTCCTTTTCCTTTTCCTCAAAGCCCTCCATCCAAACATACTCTTAGGTTAGAGCCAAACCTGATTGAATTTATGACAATGGAAGATTGGACACCTGTGCTTCTAATGCATTTTCTTTTCTTGATAGGAACAAAATGTATTAGTTACTATTCTTCTGCATGGAGTGGATGTGAGACAGTTGGAATATAATTTTTTTTTTTTTTAAATTTCTCCCATCCGAAACCTCTTGTTAACCTTACCAATATTCTGTTCCGATTAACAGCAGTGTTTTTTAATAGAGCCTTATTAGTCTATTTGTGTCCTTAAGCAAACCTCACGTATACCACTGCGTGCATGCACTTAAAGAATGTAGTACCCTTGATCAACATCTAATCTACTGCCAATGCTTGTGATGCAAGAGTTTCAAGAGTAAACTATAGGTTGTGAAGTGTTTAGTGACCATTATGTTACTGATTTGTTTTAGTAATTTGTCAGTAGTCAGATTATGATTTTCACGTGGTAGTTAAATTTTGATAATTACTTTGCACCTTAGGTTTGTTTTTCTCTCTATGGAATGTCTTTTTGCAGGTGAAAAGTTTGACAAGCAACATTCAATTGATACTGGATTCGTTGAGAACTTCCACAACATTGGAAGTGCAGGCAAGTTCTCATTTTGTAGTATTTTCCATGTGTCAAACTCTCATTTTGTACTTTGCGCACTTAATGTCACTTCTGTACACTAGCATGTAGTGACGCACCACCATTTGGTAGAGGGACAAATTAAGGATACTTTTTTTTAACTTAATATGCTGAAAGCTAATCTATTTATTATATTATCTAACTGCTTATTTCTCTCCCTCAACTTTGCTGCAGGGTGACAAGTTGAGAAGGCAAAATGACTGGATGAGATGGCTTCCCTCTGCTCAGCTTCGGGCTAAATCCGGTTCAGTATCTCCTGGCGGATCAAGATACAATAACCTGGCAACTGATTTTCAAACAATCACTCTGGAAGAAATGAACAAAGATGAAGGACCAACCGAGTCTTCCAGTCAGTCTCAACTTCCAAATGGCGGTAACGCTGCAGGGAACAGCAATTAAAACTGTACTTACATAATTACCCCGCCCCAAATTTATTATCCTTGTCTAGTGTCCAGTTTTTCTTTTTTCTTCTTTTTATTCTTTTTTTGGAGGTGATGGGAATAGAGGCTGTGTGGAAGTTGATTCTTTCTACAGTCACTGAGCTCGATTTTGATAGTAATTTTCAGTCTTTTAGTGGAAACAAATAAGATTTATTCACATTTGTTACGGTCTAAAGATAAAAAGAGGAATTAATCAGACATGAAAGGAACTTCAGAATTTTGATTGAGGCGGATTTAATGAGGTTATTTGATTTGTATAGCTTATATTTGCTGTGGTTGATTAATTCTTATCTTTTAATGGTTTATGGTGGCATGTGTGGGCAAAGTCTCTTATGAGGTTGAATGAGTTGACTTTGAGCTTATACTAGGCTGCGCTACTGAAGTTTGGCTCTCCAATTGGATGATTTTAACCGTCGTGTTCTGAGTTGTGTGCTCACTAAGGGCCGATGGTTATGATGGATAGTTTTTGCTGTCTGTACTCTTGTCCCTAATTTTCTCATCTTTTCTTAAAGTCTGTTTCTCCGAAAGGACTCCAACAAGTTTTCTTTCCGGATCTCCATGTAGAGAGATTTTTTCTAACCGTAATATTATATTAGATCCGGACTTCAAAGATATTTGTTATTTCACCTTTAATTTAGCTCTCTTTCTGACTCCAGTTCGATGTATTATTTTGCTGTTTAACCATGTAAGGGTTGCTCCGGCCTAATGAGTGATTTAAAAGCTGAATTGCATATTTATCTTATCTCAGTCTACTCCCTTTTTATAATTATATAAAAGAAAGTAACAAAATGCATGAAATGATGGAGGGGGAAACCATAACTTGGCAAAAATATACTGGCTTTTTGACCGTTCCAATGTATTTTTGGAAATATTTCAGCAGTATAGATTTTTGACCAAATGTATTACCAGATTAATGCAGTGGAAGATGCACATAAGGTGGTTATGTGTATAATTGTTCACCTAACACGCATATTAAGTGGTAGACGGATTGTAAGGCGCATCTGATATTGACGTAATCAGGACTAGTGGAATTAGATTGGACGGATTGAAACGCGTACGTGATACTGACATGTCTAGACATGCATCTAGTACTAACGTGTCTAGACGTATATTATGGACATATGTGCGTGAAAGGCATATGTGCGTGAAATCTGTATGTCATGTGCGCGACTAAACATATAATCACTTGATATGCATCTTTGTACATTGCTTCGGTTTTAATCAAAGAACTAAACTGGTGGAATATTTTGAAAAATAGGTCAAAAGGGCTAAATATATTGCTTTATCCCACTTACAAATGAAAGTACCTAGGAGTTAAGTTACCAGCAAGAAAAAGAAAAAATGAAGGTACACATAGTAAAGGGGTTGCAGGTGTAATTGTCAGATAACACTGTATTCAGCATAGTCAAAATTCACCCCAGAACTATCTAAGAGGAGTAAAAAATCGTGCCCGTACTCTTTCCTCAAACTCTCAAAACTATCCAAGGGATAATACATTGAAGAATGTGTAGAAGGATATCCACCTTGCCTCTCTTTCCGAATGCTCCAACAACGATCTTCTTCCAACGCCAGCTTTCCCTTTTGCAACTTAATCTTTACGAGTAGTAGGCCATGTCCCTCATCATAGAATCATCCTGCAATCCCATAGCAGCCTCTACTTTCTTCGGTTCTTTGGAGTAAGCTCAGCAAACTCTCCTGATCTTGAGGTCTGGTTCTGACTTTCAGAAATTGGGTCATGATGCTTTCGAATCTTGTACTGTTGTGCAATATGCCCCTCTATTACCAAGGGAAAGGCTCAGCAAGTAGATATAGGTAACTCCTCTTATTGTTGGGACAAGTAATGATCAATGCTAGAGAGTCTGCTCCGTCCAGAGCCAAAAAAAAAAAAAGAAAAAAAAAAAGGAATCCCACTGTCCCCACACATGCTCTTATCTTAATGCTGATAAAAAACGGGTTTCTTAACTCCTAAAAACAATTTCTCCATGCTTGAGCTTGCACGCCTGAACTAAGAGAATGCTATACTCACAAGACAATAAGATAAGGCTAGCTATTTCTCTATAGTTTATTTATTTATCTATTATTTAAATTTGTCATTGGGGAACGGGTGCAAAGTCATAATGATTAAAATCATTTTTAGTACTTCTAAGCAATATTATTAAATTTGGTTAGGTCATTGCTTGGCCGGGTATTAGGCTAACGGGTCACTGATTTAATCGAGTTTATATAAAATTTTGTTATAAATATAATATAGTTGTTTTTTAACAACAAAGTTCTTCAAGCTGAATGGTAAATGGTAAATCCCAACATGTCATGGGTTCTATCTCATAGAGATTGCAAAATTTATCATCTGGGTTATACCTTCTTCTAGAAGCACGTTTGATTTTGATTTTTCTCATTGGGGTTAGAAGAAGTATTATTTATGATTTTGGTTCAATTTCAACGCGAAACTAAACAAGAATTAGTTAAAGAAGCTCTCCTTAATCAGTATTGAATGAAAAGGGGAGATTTTCAACTGTCTAAATCAATTCCCATTTTATTTTGTTGACGTTTCTTTGGTAGCAGTTGCTGTTCTTTAGTGATTAGCCATCTCGTGCTTAATCTTGATTTGCCACCCATCATATTTATAAATATAACAGTCCAATACATTATGATTATCCAAGGAGGAAAGAGAAGAAAAACATTTATAAAAAAAAGTTATATGATATTAATTATCCATTTAATACAAAAAGCAAACGCTTCATTACTGTTACTCAAACTTCAAAGGAGAAGCAGCAATAGAGTTCGAAACATTGTGTGTTTGTAATATAGAAGCGACAATGAGCTCATATGTTCTCTGAGTTGGATGGCCAGCATCCCAGAAAACATGTGCTGAAGGATTTGGACAAGAGCCAATGAGTACGTTACATGAACTTCCCATTTCAAGTGTCCCAGTCCCACAACACCCGTTCACAGCGCTTATAAACCCTGAAATTATTACAAAGTACACAAATTAACATATAATTCACAGATCATAAAAAATTTCAATGCTAATTTGCACTAATATTTATCAAGGCTTGTATTCAAAAAATAACCTGCTCCTACTGGATTCCGTATGATATTAAGCAGAGGAGTGTAGACATCAACGAACTCAAGGTCATAATTGGAAAGACTGGTTCTAATTGTAGACATCGCTGATGCTAATTTTGCATTGTATATCTGTGCTTGTTGATTCACAATTTCTACACAAAGCCTTAAGGGTCCACCTAATGAATTTCTAGCTCCAGGCAAGCATCCCAATGGCAATGTACTTAAAACCCACACGCGTCGTGCTCCAAGTTGATATAGTTCCTTCACATTAACATTTTGTACCAAAAATAAAAATAAAAATAAGATTTATTATATATGTTTACGGTACTTTCAACTAAAAAAAATGAAATGGTAAAAAGTTAATTCAATTGCAAGTCACGAACCTTGACAAAATTTGAATGCCACGTAACTACAAGATCAGCATATGTAGGGAATAACATCAATCTCCTTGCCGTGGAAGAATAAGCAAAGGCAATGTCATTGTTGCCCGCTGAAATCAGATACAAGCCGTTGGATATGATGGAAGATGCATTTTGATCTCCAACAACTGCTCTCAACTTTTTTATGTAATCTTGGAACAATTGTAGTTGGGCGGACATTGATAAAACTCCCTTATAAACATAACATAACAAATGATAGAGTGGCGTTAATTAAAATATATAAGGGGTTTGATTTTCTCATGTTACACGATAATTTAATTGGAGTTAATTAAAATATATAAGGGGTTTGATTTTCTTTCCTGATGTTAGCAATGTATAGCGGTCAAATATGACTCTTTTCTTCTCGAGACATTTTACTTTTTTTCATCATGTGGGAATTCGAATTAATTTCCATTTATCTACTTTTATTCATGGGGGGAGGGGGGGGGGGAGGAAACGCTTGTATGTTTAATTTAATTCCTATGTTGTGACTTAAATAGTGGTGGACAAAAAAAAAATTGCACGCAAATCGAAGAATTATAACATGAGAATTGACAAATATTGTTTCAATATATAAATATAAGAAAAAAAAAACTTTTACTGTCACTGCAGAAGTGTTTCACTGATAGATTCATCAAATTTTTTCATTTAATTATTTATTTTTAAAAAAATATGGTGAGCCTAAGACAAAATTTTACTGTCGTTACATATATACAAAGCCCAAATATAAACCGGGGTAAATGAATATTTTGAAGGAGACAAAATGTGTCCAACTGTTTACACATAAAACATTGGGACCCACCAACTTAAAAAAAAAATTAAAAAATAAAACCGGCGCAACTTTTAATGTATTTATGGGACGAGATTTTTTTTTTTTTTTTTTTTTTTTTTTTTTTTTAAAAAACATTCATATTTTAACAAATAATTTCGGATTACCAAAAAAAAAAAAAAATACAAATAATTTCGAGCAACGATGTTATTTTAGATGTAGTATACTTTGGAAAGTTTATTTTCCTTTTATATCATGTATTTTACCAAAAGATTTTAGAGGAAAAATTAACTACAATATTACCTGTACGCCAGAAGTTATATTATCATTCCCTGAGCCACCTGAAGCAAAGCCTACCCCAGTTGGGAGGTCTTGACTCTGTAAGTTGGGGTCCAGATAAGCTGGCAACGTTTCTTTGATTCCCAGAGCCGCCGCTAAATATAACATATTCATATACAAATATAACATATTCATATACTATATTCATATTTGAAAATAGTTTTGATTTGAGATAATTTTTAACTATGAGCATGCAAAATGGATGAGGCAGCGCCTACTAATGTAGATGAAAATGCCTTGATTATGAAAAAAGAAACCAAAATGCATTGCATGGATGAGGGAAATGAATATTTATATATTGGTGGTTATAGTTACCTATCAAATCTGAGGGAACTTTTCCATCACTCCATCTTCCTGTAGCTCTTCCTCCAATGAAATCTCTTCCATATGGAGGAAAATTGCACTTACTTAATGATGCAAGGTTGTTGTTATTTCCTGTATCAAGGATTGAGTCTCCAAATGCAAACAATGCCGGAATTGATCCATTAACAGCTCTGGGAACTATGATGGCAGAGGAAACCATAACAATTGTCACTATTCTCTCCCAAAAGTTGTCCATTTTTCTTCCTTATTGATTTTGTAGCAAGGTAGTGATAGTATTTATAGATACTAATTTGGTTATCCAAAAATAAATATTAGTGTATAGTCTATCCTGGAATGTGTGATCCGTTTTCCTTTACTTTTAATTTTCTAGCAACGCTTGTTTAACTTAAATTTGTTCGATTTACTTAAATTTAACTTAAATTCTCCAAATGCAAGTGAATGTCTGATTTTCTAACAATGTTTTAGAAACTGCTTAATAGGAATCTAACTTAAATTTGTTTAGCTTATAACAGACTTTATTATGTAACTCCAATTCTACTAAAAACGTGTGATGTTGGAATATACTTAAATTTGTTTAACTTATGACAGCCTTTATTATGTAACTTCAGTTCTGCTAAAAACATTTGAAGTTGGAATACATACAACTTTTCATTCTTTATTAGGATTTTATTTATCCGTTTTCTTTATTTCATGCAATTAATTTATAATTTGCTTGTTTGACAATATATGTAAAAACAAATATTAGGATAATTAACACTACACTTTTATATAAATATTAATAATATTTTATTTTATTTTGACTAAAAGCTCTTTATTTTAAGGAGATTGTTAATCATTGTACCTTCGGGTAGAGATTAATAATATTTAGATTTTGTTTTAAAACAAAAACTTTATTTCTTCTTTTATAGTTTAATGAAGACTAAATTATATGTTTTACTTGACTTATTTTTTAAAACTCAAAGGTTGGGCCGAGCCTGCTATTAGTCCTATCAAACCTACTATAATTTTAATTGTAATAAATCAAACATAAATTATTTAGTGAATTAGAACACAAAGATAAATAAAAAAATATGAATTAATATTTTCAAAACAGTTCTCTATTACAAGTTAACGAAAGTTAAATCTATATTTAAGTATTCGACATAAATATTATATACCTTTTTAAATTGAAATTTTTTTATATAATACTAAAAGTTCATTAAAATACATGGGAAGGTCATGTGTCCTAGTTGTTAAGTATGCTTTTCCAAATAGACATAATTATGTAAGAATAAAAGTCTTACACTTAATTTTAATTGTTGATTCAGCCTCATACACGCACGCATACACGTGCGTATATAAGTTTAATTTACACTTGTGTAAGAATAAAAAGTCTTACACAATCATTCTTAGACATTGATTCACTTACATATAACAACTCATACACCTAATAAATTTGAGTGTTATAATTACAAGTAGATTCAACCAATATTATTAAATTCGGCCCAATGATTGACTTGTCTGTGGTATTGGGTTACTGGATCATTGGTTCAATCGGTGAGTCATTGGTTGAACCGACTGACTTGAACTAATATATGAAATTTTTTATTTTATACACATAATTCCAAAAATATCAATACCTTAAAACAAATAATCTGCTAAAGGCATCTAACTAGATATTTCATTTCCTATACATGGAACTGTGGTATAATCAAAGCTTTCAAAGCACAAATGAGGGGCACATAGCACAAATGAGGGGCACATATTCAGTTTGTCACAGAACAAATATGTAAACCTTAGCACTCAATATGCCATGCCTCAACCATTCAACCTTAACATCAGCTCAATGACTTCTATATGTTGAGTGCTAGTGCCACCATCAGTTACTCATCATCACCAATTACCATATTCTAAAAGCAAGCCCTTTCATTCACCTGCACTGCCACAACAGCTTCACTGGAACACTGCTTCCTAATAATTATTCAAATTACCATACAAGCATCTAGCCAGCTTGAGATGACAGAAAACAAATGGGAAGAAAATAGATTTTTAAAATATATATAGGGGAGTATGTTGGTTGAGGATAACTTGTGCTTGAGAAAGAAATGGGATTACTCAAAAATCAAACAAAAAGACATTGCAAACTAAAAGAAGCCGTAATTTAAAATTTTTAGTCAAATGCCTAGACCTGTAACCAAAACCAAGCTTGAGTCGTTCTCATGGATAACATATCAAACAGTGAAATGTAAGTAAGACAAAAAATACAAAAAACATGGCCTTTGTCAAAGAAACATAAGTGACACGAACATGAGGCAAAGAGACTGGGTACCTCAATAAAAAACAACGATATCTTCTCAAATGCTTTACAAGCATGAGATCTGTTCATACATTTCACAGTTATTACAACTTAAATACGCTCAATAAACAATTCCTAGCAAGGTTACCTATATAATAAGTACAAAAAACTAATCCCATTTCCAAAGTGCATTTATATATTGCTTTAATCAGATTTCCAGAAAGGCCTTTCGTGTGTGGCATTTCTATTTTAAATGGCATCTTGGACATCTTATAAGACATTTCCTTTCCCAACAATCAAGCACAATATGAAATAAGAAAAGTAATGACATAGTAGAACAGACAATCATTAACTATGGTAGAGCTCTTGGCAATATATTCATGGTCAAATTTTATATGATGAACTAATGTTTCACCTTGCAAAAAAATTAACATAAACTTATGATTACATAACCTTTGGTAACAATACCGAAGAATTGCAGGATGTAAATGTACTGTTCTTGCGACTTCTCTAGCTCAGTATAGCATTACATTATATAATTTATAAATATTTGGATAACATGTACAAAATTAAAGATAATGAAACAATAAACAATATTAAAATTATAAAATATCACAACACCTCAACCAAATAAAAATGCAACAATTTCGTAAATTAAAGTAAAATAGGAGTTAAAAAAAGAGAGAAGAAATGACGATGATTTAAAGCCTTACCAGCAAATGCAAGGAAGATTAGGATGCGAAAAAGATGATGAGACCTTTGCATCCAATTTATGCCTAAAATTTTCCAAGTAAGAGTGTAAGAGTCAAGCTACCCACAATTTAAAAACCAAAAAACACAAAGAGAAGTTTACTAACCTGATCTTCTTGAAGAAGCAAGTGGTGCGACCAGCGACAACACGCAGCAGGACCGGCATCTACATAAAGGGAGCGGCGCGGAGAGATGAGAGTGGGACGATAGAATCAAGGTTCTGCCTTATGTAAGTCGTAAAGACGCTATGGGTGATTTTTTTTTTTCTTCTTTGGACCACGTTCCAAGAATTTTTTTTATTTTTTTTGGTTACAAATAGTTTAAGTGAGCTCAGACAGATGTTTTCCACCATTATACAATGTTCTCGTATCGGACAACAAGATTTGAACCCACGTCCTTACGGAGAATGTGTCAAATCCTTAATCAATTGTTCCCATCTTTGTTGGCTTCAAGAACTTATTTATTAAAAAAATATATATGCATGACCTGGCGGGTTCACTGTGAACCGACAAGGTCACCAATTTTTATTGGTCACTGGGTGAGTCAAACCGGTTCATACCGGAGTTGATACATGATTGATCCAATACCTCATTCCGACCATTATATCGGTTTAACGATTTCCAATTCGACTCGGCCAGTCCGAGAAGATTTTTATTACATTGGATTCAACAATTGAGATATAACCTTCCGGTTCAGAACGATCCATTTACAAATTTTTTTTACAAATTACATTAAGTTTGACCGGTCATACACTCTTGATTAAAGTATGACCGATCAGACATAATATAGTTTGTAAACAATATATATATATATATATATATATATATATATATATATATATATATATATATATGAAAAAATATTTCTCAAGCTGCTTGAGATAAGTTTATCTCCGGCCACCCCAAAACTACGTCGTTTTGATTATTTATTTCCTTATATTTATTGATTTACCTTTGAATGGTTATGATTCCCTTTTTCTCTCTCTTCCTTTATCACCGTTGATCCATCTTTGTACGGTTATGATTTAGTAGCCGGAGATAAAATTATCTCCGACAGCTTGAGAAATGATAAGCCCATGTATATATATATATATATATATATATATATATATATATATATATATATATATATATATATTCTTACACCGGTGTAAGAGTTAGAAGTCTTATATCTAATCTTGACCATTGATTCATTTGTATCCAATGGCTCACATTACTAAAAAATTACAGCCCTTAGATATAAGTGAAATCAACGAACAAGATTAAAAGTGTAAGTTACACTGGTGTAAAATGATACTAACCATATATATATATGATTAAAAAGTCTTATTCTCCATATGAGCCATTGATTTTTGTCTATATAATGGTTGTAATTTTTTTGGAATCAATAATTAATTAATAGATATAACTCAATAAAGTACAATTTTTAGATGAACGAAAATAAATAGGTGAGATAGAAAGTAAGACCTCTTAATCTTACGGTCAAAACATCTTTGCCCACACACACATTAAAAATCCACTAAAAAAATATGAACCATATTTGTTGCTCACATTGAATTCAATTATTATTATTATTATTATTATTTTACTCAACTTAGCCTCATCAAGCTTTGCTTAGATTCATTGGAATATATAGTTGAGTTATGGTGGGTTTTTGAACTCCAAAGAAATGAATTAATCCAAACAAAATGTCTACCACGTGGGAGATTAGGATTTAGTATAGTACCAATCCCACAAGAATCAATAGGGAGCATATTTTTACCTGTCCACCAAACACCATGTGCCCGGTCACATATAAGTAATCACAATCAAACATGAGATCCAAAGTCTAACTCGTTGCTATTATATCTCCTTAGAAGTTGCAAAATGTGCGCTCTTCCCATCATTACCAACCAAAATTGCATCATCTTTTGCTTTGCCTTTAGTGCTAAAAGCAGTGTTCCAAAACCTCATGTTTATTTGTAAAATGATAAGTGAACTAAGTCAAATGTAAACCCAAAACCACACTAAGATAAGATGGCTACTGAAATAGTTGTTGATTCAAAACCAAGAAATTAATTTAATAGGAGAAGTGAGCTAAAGCCGTAACCACTCCTTCTGGCAACACCTATATAGGTATATCCAATTTGAAGCGAGAACATGGGGGCTGAACTGCGGTTACTGGTTGAGTTTAGTGGTGTATTTATGTATTTGGAAAAGCGGAGGAAAACAAAAGGTGATTGTGTAAGGAAATTGGAAAAGGACAAAGCCATGGATAAGGAAATTTGAATAACAATATGCAAAAGAAAATATCTTATCTCGTTCAGCGATGCTATTGCCTTATTTTTTTATCAGAATATATATGACTAGGGTTATATTGACAAATTTTTGTTTTACAAATTTATAAATTATACTATATTTGATTGGTAATACTCTACTCAAGAGTGTATTACAGGTAAGACATAGTGTAGTTTGCAAACAAAAAGTTAGTAAACAAAAAGTTTGTAAATATAACCTTCTCTAATATATATATAGGATACTTTTAACATCAAGGTCGAATTAAAATGTTTAACACCAAATTTTAACCATTAATTTTCGTCAATCTAATAATTATATTTTATTGGGAATCAATAATTAATTTATAAGTGTGACCTAATAAATTATAATAGTTAGATTCATGAAATCAACGATTAAAATTTGGTGTCAAACTTTTTAGTTTAATATCCAAAAATAAGTCTTATATTTTATTGTGTTTTGATTGATTTAATTATAATTATTTATTTATTTTTAAAGTTAATTACTGTTATATTTATTTTAGGAGGTTTTATTATTTTTAGGAATTTTAATTTTTGAATTTTGATCAATTTGTAATTAGTCTATAAAAGGGTGCTTAAGACCCTTATTCTAGGAGTTGAATATTATTATTTTGTTAATTGAAATTGGGAACCGCAGGGTTACTCTTTTGTGAAATTCCAACTTTCTGTTTAGCTACTTTTCTATGTGCTTTCGGCATCACACTTAAGGATTGGTGCAGTCATATAAAAAACTACTTTTATAGTGTGAAGGGTTTAGCGGATGTACAGTGACTGCATCTAAGGATTGATGCAGTCATATAAAAAACTACGTTTATAGTGTGAAAGCATTAAATATAGAGAATTATAACCATATAAATATGTAAATAAATATAAAGTATTAAATATGAAAAATCATAATTATACAAAGGTGAAAATAAATATAATACTTCTATTTTTTACAATTAATTTTGAACACGAACTTCATTTATCCTACCCAAAATGACGTAGTGTTTAGGTGACTGCATCAATATTTATATACAATCACGTTACAAATCATTTTGCCATATATACATTATCGAAGCCACCCCTTGTCTAGTGTCAGATTTCTCTTTTTCCTTTTTTTTTTTTTCTTTCTTGGAGGTGACGGGAGTAGAGGCAGTGTGGAAGTTGAATCTTTCAATAGTAACTGAGCTTCATTTTTTTTTTTTAGTAATTTTGAGTCAATTAGAGAACACAAATAAGAATTATTCACATTTTTCCGGTTAAAAGATAAGAGTAATATTTTTCTCATTTTAGATGAGATAAGGATTAAGATGAGATAAGGATTACTTTTTACGGAAAATAAATGAGGAGAGAGAAAAAAAAATGAAGTGAGAGAAAAATTTTGTAATGAGACCCACATCCGAATGTGTGTGTAGAAATGTTTTGATCTCTTAAGTAAAAGAAGAGACGTTAACCCCAAAAGATAAAAGAGATAAATTAATATGACAAAAGAAACTTCAGATTTTTTATTGAGGCGGATTCAATAAGGTTAGTGGTATGTATAGCTTATATTTGCTGTGGTTGATTAATTCACAGTTTTTCTTTTTTCTTTTGTTGGGTTAGAACATCCGAGGACAAGGACAAAAGAGGAGAAAAACATATAGAAAAAGGAAATTATTAATTATACATTTGATACAAAAAGCAAAGGCTTCATTAATGTGAGCCAAACTTTGAAGGAGTAGTATCAAAAGAGCTTGAAACATTATATCCTGAAACATTGTATCCTGAAACTCTGTGTCTTTTTAGTATAGAAGCCACAATGAGTTGATATGTTCTCTGAGTTGGATGGCCAGCATCCCAGAAAACATATGCTGAAGGAATTGGACAAGAGCCAATGAATATGTTACATAACTCTGCCATTTCAAGTGTCCCAGTTCCACAACACCCGGTCGCAGCGTTTACAAACCCTGAAATTTTTACAAAGAACACAAATTAACATAATTCATGATCATCGAAAGTATCATTGTTTAATTTGCACGAATAATTTAGTAAGTTTGTATTAAAATTAACCTGCTGCTAAAGGATTCCGTATGATATTAAGCAAAGGAGTATAGACATCAACGAATTGAAGGTCAAAATTGGGAACCCTTGTTCTGATGGAAGCCATCGCTGATGCTAACTTTACATTGTATATCTGTGCTTGTCCATTCACAATGTCTACACAAAACTTTAAGGGTCCACCCACTGAATTTCTAGCTCCAGGCAAGCATCCCAATGGCAATGTACTTAGAACCCACACGTGTCGTGCTCCAAGTTGATATAGTTCCTTTACATGGAAATAAATAAATAAGATTTATTACATGTTTACGAGTTACGACATTTCAAACTAAAAAATGAATGGTAAAATTAATTCGATAGCAGCTCCCGAACCTTGACGAAATTTGAATGCCACCCAACTAAAAGATCAGCATATAGATTGAATAACATCAATCTCCTTGGCGACACAGTATAAGTAATAGCAATGTCATTGTTGCCCGCTGAAATCAGGTACAAACCGTTGGATATGATGTACGCTGCTCTCTGATATCCAACAAGTGATCTCAACCTTCTTATGTAATCTTTGAACAATTGCATTTGGGCGGACATTGATAGAACTCCCTGATAAACATAACAATATAAGAAATGATTGAATAGCATTCATTAATATATATATATATATATATATATAGATATGCACAGGAGGAATCTTTTGATTCCGGTGCAAGACTTAAAAATTTTATTCCTCATCTTAAATGTTGATTTTGTCTATCTATCAGTTATAGTTTATTGAATTATATCAATTAATTAATTATTGATAATAAGGGAACAGATCCTTTTTGAAATTTTTTACAAATTACACTATGTTTTTCCGGGAGAAAATGGTGTAACCAGTGTTCTCCCGGGAGAACATATTGTAGTTTGTAAGAGTTTGTAAACAAAAAAATTTGTAAATATAACCTGCCCCTAATAATAAATGACAAAAATTAGATAAACAAAAATCAACGCTAAAATAGGAAGTAAATCGTAGAGTAGAATATATAATATTAACTACAACCTGTAAGGTAGTTGTCATTGTGTCCAACCCTGAGCCACCTGAAGCAAAGCATACCCCAGTGGCAAGTTCTTGACTACTTAGGAACGGGTTCAGATATGCTGGCAACGTTTGTTTGATTCCCAGAGCCTCCGCTACATAAACATATTCAAATGATTTGAGATAAGCTTTAACTATGATCATGTAACGAGAAATGAGAAATATTTTTCCACTACTCTACACCACTACTCTACATTCCCTTACTTTAAAAATGCCTTGATTATTAAAAAGAAAATGAAAATGTCTTACTTTACATATATAGAAAAACATGAGGGAAATTAATGTGTACATAATGATAGTTATATTTACCTATCAAATCTGAGGGAACTCTTCCATTACTCCATCTTCCTGTTGGTCTGGCTCCAAAGAAATCCCTTCCATAAGGAGGAAAATTGCACTTGCTTAACGTTGCAAGGTTGTTGTTATTTCCCGTATCAAGAATTGAGTCTCCAAATGCAAACAACGCTGGAATTGCTCCATCAACGGCCTTGGGAAATCTGGTGGCAAAGAAAACCAATACAACAGTCACTAATCTCTCCCAGCATACATGCTCCATTTTCCTTTAGTGTTGATTTTCTAGCAATGTAATTATAGTATTTATAGATGCTAGCTAATACAGTCATCAAAAATAAATTCCCGTGTAGAGTCTATCCATTCCTTTAAGTAAAGTAGTCTGGTCAATAACAATTATATTATTATTTTATATTAAATAATCAAATAGATTTGTGACACACGTGATAGTTTCTCTATTATTAAACGAGTCTTTTCATTTTATCAAAAACAAAAAAGAGTAAAATTTTTTTATCAAATGATATTAGCTCAATCGACACTAGAGAACTAAGTAAGTGAGAGTGAGAATATGTGTTCAATTCTCCTAAATTCTAATACCATTTTTTAAAGGGAATTAAATTCTTAATTTCGGGATTCAACCCGAATCGACCTAGTCCGGAGACAATGAACAGAGAGTAATATAAAAAAGAAATTGAAAATTGTCAACTCTATAATCAATGCACTTTAAGAATCTGACTTAAATTCAGCACAAAAATATTATATATAATAATCCAACTTAAATTTGTTGAACTTAATTACGAGAGTCTTTATTAGGAAAAAATTTAATATGGTCACCGACTTTGGTGGTCCCTTCCGCAAAAGTATGACACTTGGATTAGATTTTTATTTTTCTCATTTTTCTCTTCTCTCTCCCCAGCTTTTTCTATCTTTTTCTCTCCTCTGTCCTGCCAATTCAAAAGTGTTCCGGGAGCACTAAATTCCTACTCTTTTATTAGGTAATTTTAATTGTTTTAAAAATACTTGATGTTGGAAATTGTTTTATGTACAACACTTGAGATATTATCATGTCTTTATTTGTCTTCCTTCATAATTTGTTTGATTTTGACTTTTGACATAATAAAAAAAAAAAAAATGAAACTAGTTAATTTCACAATTTAACTTTGGGTTTGTTTTTTCTGATGTTACTTTAGATAACTTTATCTAATGTTCATCAAAACGACGTCGTTTTGAGACGAAAATCATTGTATTTTTGTAATTTTAATTTATTTCAGGGTTATAATAGTCTTTATCACTCTAATTTTTTAATTTTTGAACTCCAAAACGACGTCGTTTCGATGAACATTAGATAAAGTTATCTAAAGTAACATCGCGAACTTTTTTCCCTTTAACTTTTGACTAAATGTGTGGATATATATATATATATAGAGGTTTACATTTTTGTAATTGTTGTACGTGCAGCAATCAAATATTGCTATATATATACTTGAAAGCATTAAATGCGGGAAATGATAACCATGGATGAAAGTATTAAATGCAGTACATAAAGTGGTTGTAGAAATAATTTTAATATATATATATATATATATATATATATATATATATATATAGAGATAAGGATAAATAACTCCACACATTGACTTTTAACTAAAGTTGTTGACCTGTTCATGGTTTGAGGTAATTTTTTTTTATAATAATCAAATATTTGTGTACCAAAAAAATTTTAATTTTTTTTTCTTAAAATTTCTTTTAGGAAAGTTGTCGTTGAGTCGGTTATTTTAGATTTAGATTAAGATTCGGTTATTTTTGTTCTTGTCGTTGAGTCGTAATAAAAAACACGTAAATTGTTATATTTCTATAAGTTTTTTGTTCCCATTTATCATTATTTTTTATTTAGATTGCCGAATTTTCTACTAATTGCATGAAAAAAAATTAAATTTCAAACTGGTTTAATATACAATGTTTAATACCTTTTATATATATATATATATATATATATATATATATATATATATATATTTGGTTCCACAGCACAAAATGACAAACAATTTTTTCTCTGTTGCGCTTCTACTCTCATTCCTAGCAAGGTCGTATTTCTCTTTTCTCGTACACTTCTCTCTACTCTCCTCTTTCCTTGCACCTCCATCTCTTCAAAAAATTTCTCCCCCTTCCACCTCCATCTCTTTTCCTATTACTCATTGAGGGACTTCATGACTAGGGGTGAAAGTGGGTTGGGTTAGGCCGAACTTTGCCCCGAAAAGCCCAAGCCTACGTCAAAAAATTTCAATTTGGCTCGGCCCAAGCCTAATATGAGTCTAACTGTTAGCCTGGTTTGGCCCGTTTATGAAAAAAATAAATGGTCTGGCTTGGCCCGTTAGCCTGTTAATTTTTAACTTCTAAACAGAACAATGAATCAACTTTACAAAGTACTCAAATTCTGTTGCTACACCAAAAATCATAATTTCAACGTCCAAACAGAATCATGAATCATAACAAAACTAATACAATATGCATTTAAGTCATTTTCAAAAGCAAAATGCTCAAATTAAATAACATATATTTTATCAGATCCAACAAACAAATCCATACTATGTAAATTAAAATAACAACATGAATTCAACAAACATATCATGATGCTTGTAGTAAGTATAACCTCTGCCAAATTTTTTTTAATATATTCATATACACAATCTAACATGTTGAGATGTTGGTTCCTCCTATATAAGAAATAAAGTAAGATTTCTATTAAAATATAATCGAATATGATTAAGTTATAAATAATTGCAATTGATTAAATTTATATCTTTTTTTTTTCTTCAAGGCATACTTACTCTATTTTATTTTATTTTATTTAAAATAAATAGTACAATATAGGCCGGCCTGTAGGCTTATAGGCTCGGCCTTTTGAAAGTGGACTTACGGCCTTTTTATTAAACAGGCTTTTTTAAGGCCCGAGCCCGGCCTATTATACAAAATATATATTAGGTCAGGTCTAGCCTGATGTAGGCCGAGTTGTAGGCCCCTGTAGGCCGGCCCAGCCCAATTTCACCCCTATTCATGACCTTCTATAGAGGTTATCCTTTTTGTTAATATGCATGTTAGATTTGTTGGGGTGTGTTTCTCCTTTAATGCTTGGTGGCTAGACATTCACTTTTTTTATGGGTGCATGGCTTAATGTCTGCTCAACCACTTCAATAAATGTTGCCGACCTCATTATTGATGAAGACTTGTTGCGACTTCGACAAATATATCGATCGTTTAAAGTAATAAAAGTGTGAGTAGAGTATCGTTCCACGAGGATTAATGCACCAAAGTATTATTCTCACTACTCCCTCTAATTTGGACAGAGCAATTTGATGGAAAGAATAATTGTTTAATTAAAATAAAACAAGAAGTAATTGTAAAAATAATCAAGAACGATTAAAGAATGATTAAAGAATGATTAAGGAATTATAATAAAGAACCGTAGCCAGGTACACTTCACCTTTGGTCCCCCTTATTAATTTAAATTAATTCTTATAATCAATTATTTCAATTGTTCAGACAATTCATCTTCTTTAATTTAATTGGTTAAATTCTAATGTCTTAGTGTATTTAACCTTTTAACCCAATTAGAATTCTAATGTCTTAGTAATCCCTCTTGAATTAAGCATTAAGTTCAACGAATTAAGAAGTCTCCAATTCATACAAGCCTATGTCTAGATCAAGCACAAATTCTTATTTTACTCTAGTCTGAATTAAAACCCAAATATGTTTATTGTGAGCTATAACCCTCAAAACCTATAAGAGTGATCAATTCTAATAAGGATATAGAAATTTCATTCAAAGTAAAATAAAATTAATTGAAATAAAAAAATTATAAAAACAATTCAAATATCAAAAGGGTACACATCAAATCTGTAAGAACCTGCACCGTTAAATTAGTAAGTTAATTAATTAATTATGAGAAATTAGGAAATAATTCCATAATTGAAGAACCGAGACGGTGTGTCTTGGAATGAGGATGGACTTTTGTTGTTCCAGAAGAGGATTGTGGTTCCTCGAGGTCCTTTGACCGAAGAGGTTATGGCAGAGGCCCATAAGGGCCAGTTCACGGTTCACCCTGGTGCTACAAAGATATATCAGGACTTCAAGAGAAATTTCTGGTGGCTGGGCAGGAAGAAGGACATAGCTGTGTATATGTCCAAGTGTTTGATTTGCCAGAAGGTGAAGATAGAACACTAGAAGCCGTCTGGTAAGCTTCAACCTCTAGAGATTCCGGAATGGAATGGGAGAGCATTTCCATGGACTTCGTGGTGGATTTGCCGAAGACTCAGGTTGGCTGCGACTCTATCTGGGTCATTGTGGACAGACTGACGAAGTCTGCACATTTTCTTCCAGTGAAGGTGAGCTTCACTACTGAGCAATTGGTCAGACTGTATGATAGCGAGATTGTGAGGCTTCACGGATGCCCGAGAGTATCATGAGTGATAGGGACCCGAAGTTCACATTTTGGTTCTGGGAGGCGCTGCAGGGAGCTTTTGGTACTCAGTTGAAATTGAGTACAACCTATCACCCTCAGACTGAGCGGACCATCCAGACCTTGGAGGACATGTTGAGGGCTTGCACTTTGGAGCAGGGTTCAGCATGGGATAGGTACCTGCCATTGGTGGAGTTTTCGTACAACAACAGTTTTTATGCTAGCCTGGTCATGGCACCCTACGAGGCGTTGTATGGTAGGAGGTGTCGGATTCCTACCTGCTGGTCTGAGGTTGGAGATAAGGAGTTGTTTGGCTTGGACTTTGTCCAAGATACCACCCAGCAGATCCAGATGATCAGCGAAAAGCTGAAGCAGGCGCAGAATCGCCAAAAGAGTTACTACGATGTAAAGCATCGTCCACTGGAGTTCAGTTAAGGTGAGCACGTGTTTGTGAGACTTTCACCTGTCACCGGTGTTGGTCGGGCACTCGGAGTGAGGAAGCTGAGCCCGAGATTCATTGGGCCATACCAGATCCTTGGTAGAGTAGGACCTGTTGCCTAACGACTTGCCTTGCCTCCGAACTTGGCCAACATCTACGACTTGTTTCACGTGTCTCAGCTTCGGAAGTACATAGCAGATCCTTCGCACGTGGTGCAACCGGATGATTTGAAAGTTCGGGAGAACTTGAAAACTCCCGTCGGACCACTCAAGATTCTCGATCGTGGCGAGAAGAAGCTGAGGAGCAAGATCATTCCGATGATCAAAGTGCAATGGACAGGAAGAACTCCTGAGGAGTGTACTTGGGAACG